GGCCACATCCGGCCCCCGGGCCTTAGGTTGCCTACCCCTGGCCTAGATCAAGGGAAGTACAGTAATAGTGCCACTCTATTCTGCTCTGGTCAGGCTTCCTCATATGGAATAATCCTGAGTCCAGTTCTGGGCACCACAATTCAAAAAGGATGTTGAGAAACTGGAGGGGTAATAATAATAATAATAATAAAATTTATTTATACCCCGCCTTTAGCCAAAGCCATCAAGGCGGCTTACATTAAAAATACGACCCACATTTAAACAATCATATAACCCCCCCTTAAAATTACAATTAGATTGAAACAGTTAAAAACTAACATTTGAATAAACAAATAAAACAAACACTGATCCAAAATGGTGAAGGGTCTGGAAATCATGCCTTATGAGGAGAGACTTAAGGAGTTGGGTATGTTTAGCCTGGAAAAGAGATGGTTAAGGGGTGATATGATAGCCCTGTTTAAATATTTGAAGGGATTTCATATTGAGGAGGGAGCTAGCTTGTTTTCTGCTGCTCCAGAAAATAAATAGGACATGGAATAACGGATGCAATCTATAGGAAAAGAGATTCCACCTCAGCATTAGGAAGAATTTTCTGATAGTAAGAGCTGTTCGACAGTGGAAGACATTCCCTCAATGGAGATTTTGGTGGAGTCTCCTTCTTTGGAGGTCTTTAAACAGAGGCTGATGGCCATCTGTTAGGTGTGCTTTGATTGAGAGTTCCTGCATGGCAGAATGGAGTTGGACTAGATGTCCCTTGGGGTCTCTTCCAACTCTAGGATTCTATGACTCTCTATGAACCCTGGCCTCCAGAGTCATAGTCCAACACTTAAACCACTACGTCACATTGGCTCAAAATAATAACAATGTAGAATTATTAGTATTAGTAGAATTAGATTGAATGTTATAGTTAATAAGATAAGAACAGCTGAAAAATGAAAAAGAAAATATATGTTGTGGTAACATGGAGTTCTTCTAGTTTAGGAAGTTAGAATGATGAAGATGTGTCAGTAACTTTGAATGGATTATCTGTATGTTTTAATGTTAATTAATAAAAGTGATTTTTTAATAATAATAATAATAATAATAATAATAATAATAACAACTACTGTTGTAGTAGTAGTAGAACCCAAATGCCAAAAACACAAAAGCTGTCCTGTTTTGTGGTGTGATTCGTTTTGACTGATCTGCGAGCTTTTCTGGCAGCCCTTCAAAATCCAAGATTAGAGGGCGGGGGGTTAAAATCGATGCTTTCGGTAACTCAATGCGTTCAGTGCCTCTGAGCATGTGCAGAGTGTAAATCCCTCCCTCCCCAAGTCTGAGATGAGGCTGCGCTGGAGACCAGGGAGCTTTCTCCGGAGAAAACAAGGGGGCCTTCGGCTGCTTCCAGTTCCCCATCCTGGAGGAGGAAAAGCAGGGAGGCCAGGATTCAAGGCAGGGGACCCGCCGCCGCCATCTTACCTTCTTCTTGGCGCCTCAGGGCTTCAGAGTGAACTAGGCCGCGCTCTCCACCGTCGCCTAGCAACGGCCGGCCCGCTAAGCCACGCCCCCTCTCTCAGAGTCCCGTTCAGGTGGAAGGCCCGTCGAAACCAATGATGTCGAGGCGGAGGTCGGCTCTCGAGGCGGGGTCAGCCAATCAGAAGGCGAGGGACGGCTAGGCGCGTCTCCTAGCAACGGGAGATGCGGAAATGATGGAGAAAGAGAGTGATGGGGAAGGCCGGCCAAGGAGGATGCTGGGAAATTCTCTCCAAAAAGAAGCTCAGAGGAGAAAGATGGCCCCCAGACTGTGGCTCCCAACCTTTGGGTGTCCCTTTGTTTGGGACTTCAGAGCCCAGAAGCCCCAGCAGGAACTAAGGGAGCTGGAGTCCAAAACAGCTAGTTAGAACTACTAGGCTGCTGCTACACTGCAGAATTAATCCAGTTTGAGATCGCTTCAGCTGCCCTGGCTCCATCCTGGGGAAACCTGGGAATTTGTAGTTTATTGTGGCACCACAGAAGGCTCAATGTCTCACAAAACTACATTTCCCAGGATTCCCCTGCATTGAGCCATGACAGTTAAAGCAGTCTCGAACTGGATTTTTGTTTCTCCAGTGTGCTTTGGACCATTGATTGGCTGCCTGTGTTTTATAGAGACATAGGCTGCATCCGCACTGTAGAAATAATCCAGTTTGACGTGATTTTAACTGCCATGGTGTCATGCTATGGAATCCTGGGATTTGTAGTTTTGTGGGACATTTAGCCTTCTCTGTTAGAATGCTCTGGTGCCACCACAAACTAAAATTCCCAGGATTCCTTAGCATTGAGCCAGGGCAGTGAAAGTGGTCTTGAACTTGGTTATTATTTCCACAATGTGTTTTTGACCACAGTGCTTAGAAAGCTGGCCCTGGACTTGAGAAAGGCAGGCTCTAGCCAGGGCTCCTCAGATCATGCTGAACTGCAGTTCCCAGCATTCCTTGCTAAGTTCAGCAACATCTGGATGGCTTCCCTTTGTCCATCTTGTTCCAGTCCTGCCTGAGCTGTGAAATTCTCTGGACTACAAAAGGTTGCCAGAGTGAAAACTGGAGAGGGCTCCTGTACACCTTTCATTGTTGTCCTGAAGAGGGACATAGAGTATGTTGGGTTTATGTTTCCTAGTTTCTCCTTAACACTTTTAACCCAGGGTTGGGGAACTGGATCTCCCATCATTCAGTGGCTAGGGAATGATGAGTCCTGTAGCCCAGTACAGCTTGCTTAAAATAAGAATCTGGCTTGATTTTTTAAAGTTTCTGTTGTTTTAGAATCATAGTATCCTAGAGTTGGAAGAAACCTCAAGAGCCATCCAGTCCAACACCCTTCTGCCATGCAGGAATACACAATCAAAGGTACCCCCCGCCCCACAAATGAGCATCCAGCCTCTGTTTAAAGACCTCCAAAAAGGAGACTCCACCACTTTCTGAGGGAGAGTGTTCCACTGTTGAACAGCTCTTACTCTCAGGAAGTTCCTCCTAATGTTGAGGTGGAATCTCTTTTCCTGTAGTTTGCATCCATTACTCCGTGTCCTATTCTCTGGAGCAGCAGAAAACAAGTTTGCACCATCTTCAGCATGACACCCCTTCAAATACTTAAGCAGGGCTATCATATCACCTCTTAACCTTCTCTTCACCAAGCTAAACATACCCAGCTCCTCATAGGGCTTTGTGGTTTCCAGATCTTTCACCATTTGGTTGCCCTTCTCTGGACATGCTCCAATTTGTCAACATCCTTTTTGAATTGCGGTGCTCAGAATTGGACCCAGGATTATTCCAGGTGAGGCCTGACCAAAGCAGAATAGAGTGGCACTATGACTTCCCTTGATCTAGATACTATACTTCTATTGATGCAGCCTAAAATTGCATTGGCCTTTTTAGCTGCTACATCACACTGTTTATGTTCCCAGTTTCATCTTCTTGTTTGTTTGTTTGTATTTATACACACACGCACAACAATTTCACAAATAAGAGGATGAAACTGGGAACATAAACAGTATAATGCTGCAGGTAAAAAAGCCAATGCGATTCGAGGCTCTGTGTGTGTACACATATACACACACACATATATATATATATAGTATTTACTGTATTTATTGTGGTTCTTTATGATATGTGACATATAATGTAGGTATATTGGATAAAATGAAGCCACCCTGTAGTAGGCATAACCAGCGCACTACATGGCAAAAAGAATAAAACCATGTTTTCCAGACATGCTATGCCGTGTACAACTAACAACAATTGTAACTAGACAAATGGATGCATTAGGAAATAATACCTTAATTAAACCCATCATAGAGATCACATTTCCTCTGACTTCACGTTTTTAAAATACAGCCTTTAACAAAATTGATGCAGCATAATTGACGTAAAAAGGAAAAAAGGGCTTGAATGCTTTCACTGTTGCCATCCATGATATTGCAGAGAACTAGGATGGACACTTTGCAGATACTTCCCAAGCTGTCGTATGGCATTGAACTGTGCACTTTTTATGCTTTATAGGGAAATATCAAAAGTAGAAGGAGTCCCATCCACATTGCATTTGTTGTTGTCTGCCTTCAAGTCGTTTCTGACTTATGGTGAAGAAAGATGGACAGTGGAAAAAAATCAACTCCTTTGCAATGGGGTATGGCTGAAGATTTCTACGATGGGCTGCCAAAAAGACAAATAAATGGGCCCAGGACCAAATCAAGCCTGAACAATCATTAGAAGCTCAAGTGACTAAAAAGAGGTTATAATACTTTGGACATACCACAGAATAATATGATTCATTGGAAAAATATTTCAAACTCAGGTATCTGGTTTTCTTTATTAATAGAACTGTCAGCCTCCTTGGATCCTGTATAAGGAGAAATGTGGGACATCAAATAAATAAATAAATAAATAGCAAACCTAAATACTTAGAAGGCACTAAATGCCATCTGATCTCTGGAGCTAAGCCAGGTTAGCCCTGGTTAGTATTTGGATGGGGGACTGTCAAATAATACCATGTACTGAATACTCAGAGATGGTTTGCCATTGTTGTTGTATGCCTTCAAGTCATTTCCGAGACCCTAAGGCGAGTCTATCATGGGATTTTCTTGGCAGGTCTGATCAGTTTGCCATTGCCATCCTCTCACATCTGAGAGAGTGTGACTTGTCCAAAGTCACCCAGTGGGTTTCCCTGGGTAAACAGGGATTTGAACCCTGGCCTGCAGAGTCATAGTCCAATGCTTGAACCACTACACCATGCTGACTGTCCTTCCTCTAAACTCTGGAGACAAGGGTTCAAATCGCCTCCTCAGTCATGAAAACCCACTGGGTGACCTTGGGCCAGTCACACGCTCTCAGCTTCAGAGGAAGACAGTGGCAAAACTCCTCCGAACAAATCTTGCCAAGAAAACCTGATGATAGGTTTGACTTAGGGTCTCCATAAGTCAGAAACAACTTGAAGGCACAGAACAACATCATCTCTGAAATATAGCCTACAGCACATGGTTTTCCTTGACAGTCCCCCATCCAAGTACTAACCAGGACTGACCTTCAGAGATCAGATGAGATCTAGTACCTTCAGGGCATTTAGGTTTGCTATTTCTTTATTTAATTTCCCACCTTTCTCCTTATACAGGATCCAAGGCAGTGGACAGCTGTATTAATAAAGGAAAACACAGCCCTGAGTTTGAAAGACTCACCTGTTAATGACAGAGGGTCTTGGAGGCCTCTCGTTCATAGAATCACCATAAGTCAAAGTTCACCTGATGGCAAATAATAACAACAGGATTGTGGCTAAGAGACTGAGCATGACATGGGGACATTCTGGGTTCAGTTCTCACACATGCCCCAAACTAACTAGATAGCCACACTCGTTCATGTGCAACTCCTCTACAATATAGGGATAATTCTGATCTACCTTAAAAGGTTGCTGTAAGGATTCCACAAGTGAATGGGTTAGATGCTAAATTAATTATACTATTATTTGTTGTTAACTGCCATCAAGTCGACTTCAACTTATGACGACCTTATGAATGAGAGTCCTCCAAGGGTGCATCTGCACTGCAGAAACCATCTAGTTTGACACCACATTATCTACCATGGCTCATGGTATAATTTTTAACACTTTTGCCTGATTAGGAGGCTTGCAACATGTATATTGTGCATTTTGGTTGGCCCCATAAAGGCATCACTGTTTTGTAGATTTTAGATTATATTGTACTTTGCTATATGGCCAACACAGCTACCACTGGATATGTTTTCTATACAAAAGGAGGGGTAGCATAAGCTTTCATAGACTTGGTCTACTTCCTCTCATGGAAGCCTATAAAGTTTATGCTACTTCTTTTGCACAGTTAGTCTCAAAAGTGCTACAAGATCCCTTTGCATCCTAATTTTCCAGACTAACACAGCTATTCTACTTGCATCCTAAAGTGAAAGTTACCTGACACAGATCCCTGTCTTATAATCTATTATGACAAAGAAGCCTCCTTGAAAATGAAACCCTTCAAATGTATTGGATGACGTTTACAAGTCTCATAATCTCCAGGCATTGGGAGCAGTGACTGTGGGCGATGGGAGATGTAATCCTGCACATTTGGATGGCACTAGACTGAGGAAGCCTTGTCTGAGTTAATGTTATCTCTTTTTCTATTTTCATGGAACATCACTTGAGGAATTTGGAGATGAGCAACAACCTATATAATTACACTGAAGATATTTTAAATATTTCAAGAATGAGATATACTATACTGTTTTCCTTTGGCTCAGCCACAAAAGATAGAATGGTCTGTCAGGGCTTATGGCCTCGGCCACTCTGAAGCTGTTCAAAGTGGACATTAGCCTTTGTCCCTTACAGTTTATTCAAGAAACAGATGGTTTCTCTTGCAAACACAGAAATCTGCCTGACCCTTGGGTTTCTTGGAGGCTGACAAACTCAAAAGACTTTGCTTTATACATGCAACATGGGTCAAGGCTTTAAAAAGATGGATAGTTAGGATAGTTTCTCACAGACGCATGCGATAAAGTGTGATGATTTCTGGGAAAATGGCTTTGTTTTTCAGAGGGAAAAGCCACTGACCCAGACAGCAGCAATAGTGGGCCCTCAAACTGCAGAGGAGCATCACCAGATAAGAGAGGCTGTTTAAACAAGGCAGCTTCTTGGATGAGCCAGATACCTCTGAAAAGCTGACAACAAGTGGGAAGTGAAATGAAATTTAAAAATA